GGCCTCTCGAATAAACACATCGCATTGTAACGTCAAAATCTCAATGGACAAACTATATTGTACTATAAATCATAGCGGCTCGTAAACATTCGCGTTTTCTATGCGTGGGCTAGGATTAATTAGATTAGATTATGGCACTTTTGTACAAATATTTATGTCCGTTGTTTCAGTTCGAGAGGACGGTTGGGATATCAGGGGACCACTGAACAAATTCAAATTTAAATTCAAATCTTTTTTTCCAATGCCAACAACAAAATCCCCACTGTCAAAATCGTGTTTATTGTCTTAATAAAGACCTCTATACCTAGACTTTAGGACGGCGTGATTGGAACTTTATTATGACTATAAGTATATATAGCAATTCGCTTTATGCGTCAGCCTAGTTCGCAGTGTGAACAAGATAGTTAACCTTGAAACAATAACCGGTTTAAAACTAACGTTTTCTTTAATAAAACCGGAAGGTATACTGAAGTAAAGCTACATAGTTTATTGGACGGGTAAAGTAAATGTACGCAGGCAGATATAACATATACCACTTACAGCATTTATAGTGCTTTTTAACGTAGATTTACTTCAGTTTGGTATAAATTAATAAGTAAACCATGTTCTACAGGTAAACATTTGTATTATTTTCTTTATATTGTTCAAAATACATTTTTTGCTTTGCCATTTAAAATGTTAATATAATCAATAATTTAGTCAGCAAATAACAATGATAACAAATAACACACAAAAGACTTTAACCTAAATATCCTTTAAATTTTTAATTAATAAGCTGTTTAATACATTTCAATTCAATCTGTAATCTAAGTAGCCGACAGTTTGGGAATGTGAACTTAATTTTTTTCTATAACAGAGCACTTTCATGTTTCATTTTGAATATAATGTAATTTATACTTAATTTATTTTTAATTGAATCAAAATCTAAATGAACTGGCAGCAATTAGAATAGAAAACGTATTCCAACCACGGAAGAAAATGTATTTGCTACCTATAGGATCGGTCCCTAAACCTATGATGTAAATAACAGGATTTGCGCCTCCGCCTACAGGAGGAGGTGAGGTATAGTTATGAGGAGCTCCTCATACAACACGTCCTCTTACAAATTACGTCGCTTTTCGCTCCTATGCCCACTCAGGCTAAAAAAAAAAAAAGGGGCGTAATTCAAGATGAAATCGACTCACAAAAGTGACGTGCTGTCCCGTTTTCTGTTTTAGGTCCTCTGGCTTAGGCTGTTAGGTTAAGAAACTCTTAATTAACGGTTTTCATGACGTTTTGAATCTCTAGGAGGACTTCCTGCCCTCCTAACCTACCAGAGGACCCTTAACTTGCCTCTTCGGAGAAAACAAATCTAAAATTTATTTTAATTATTTTTCATTTTTAAATTACGGAGTTTTCTTGGTCGCGGCGCATACGAGTGAAAGAAGGAATTATCAGTGGAAAGTGCCAAGCCATTATAGCACATACGAGCGAAAAGCGACGGGAAAATAAATATGTGAGAGCATAAATATGTACCTGTATATGTTGGTGGTGGAGCCGCGGCGGAGGACGTGGCCGAAGCGGAGTTGGTCCCAGGAGATGGCCCACTCGGCCAGCGGGTCGTGGGTGGTGGCCGGCTGGGTGGTGGTCGAGGAGCCGGAGTCCCGCCGCTCCTCCGGCACCAGCGGCGGCACCCGCACCTCAACCGGCTCCTCTTCCTCGAAGCCGCTCTCCTCCCCGGTGCTCTCCTCTCTGCTCGACGACCCCGGGCGGGACATCCTCCGAGCGCTCGTCACCAGCGGGGTGTTGGGCCGGGCGGTACAGTTGGGCTCCTGCGGCGTGGTCAGCGTCGGCGGGAACCCTTCGTCCTGGCTGATGGTCTTGCCCCGCGATAGCCGCCTGCGGCGCTCGGCCGCCTGGGTCGAGAAGCGGCCGTCGAGCGTCCGTCGGAGGTGGTCGGCGGGGAGGGACATGCGCGGCCTGGTCGAGGGCGCCCGCTGCGGGGAGAGCTCCAGGGAGCGGCGCATGAACCCGGGCGGGTTGACCAGGCGGTGGTGGGCGGTGGGCGTGTGCTGTGCGGATATGTTGGGCGAGGAGTACCCGCTCTCCTGCTGCGCCAGCAGCGTGCGGCCCTCCTCCCACGACCCGCCCCGCGCAGCACGGCGCAGCAGGTCGGCGAACCTCCTCCGAGCGGTTTTGGTGTCGTGCGGCGGCGCCTCCGGGCGGAGGCCATAGTGCACTTTAGCGTGGTGCTCGGCCGACCTGGGCGTCCGGCCCGGCCGACGCTTGCGGCCCAGCCACTGCACCAGCCGCAGGTAGAACCGCTGCGAAGTCCTGAGCGCAGCGGTGCGCTCGTCACCTGAGCCCAGTAGCTCGGCCACTCCGGGGTCTAGCTCCTGGCCCCCGCCCTCTCTCATCTCCACCACCTCCACGGTCTTGAGAGGCAGACCCATGAGACCAGACAAGGTAAGGCCCGGGTGGGCGGGAGGCACCTGGAGGCTGGTGGGCGGCACGTGGAGGGTGGTGGGCGGGGTGGGCAGGTGGGCCAGGTGGTGGGCCAGGTCCCCTCTGTCAGCTGGGGCCGGGGGGTCGGTGGGGGAGGGGGCGCAGGTGAGGGGGGAGGGAGGGGGGCTGCATGACCCCACGCTGTCGCCGTCTCGTGGACACCTGTTGGCCAGCACAACTAGTTAACACCTCTACCACACAACACCTCTACCACACAACACCACTACCACACAACACCTCTACCACACAACACCTCTACCACACAACACCTCTACCACACAACACCTCTACCACACAACACCTCTACCGCACAACACCTCTACCGCACAACACCTCTACCGCACAACACCTCTACCGCACAACACCTCTACCGCACAACACCTCTACCGCACAACACCTCTACCGCACAACACCTCTACCACACAACACCTCTACCACACAACACCTCTACCACACAACACCTCTACCACACAACACCTCTACCACACAACACCTCTACCACACAACACCTCTACCACACAACACCTCTACCACACAACACCTCTACCGCACAACACCTCTACCACACAACACCTCTACCACACAACACCTCTACCACACAACACCTCTACCACACAACACCTCTACCACACAACACCTCTACCACACAACACCTCTACCACACAACACCTCTACCACACAACACCTCTACCACACAACACCCTCTACCACACAACACCTCTACCACACAACACCTCTACCACACAACACCTCTACCACACAACACCTCTACCACACAACACCTCTACCACACAACACCTCTACCACACAACACCTCTACCACGCAACACCTCTACCACACAACACCTCTACCACACAACACCTCTACCACACAACACCCTCACTAATACATAACACACACATTTCTATAACGTTTATACACAGACATCATTCCTGAGTATATGGTAAATGTATTTAAAGTTTCTCCAACCAACTCAACAGTCTAAACAATGTCAAATTACTTTTATTTACAGACACTTTATTGGTCGTAACTACACACTACCAGCACAGTAATAATAATAATAATAATAATAATAATAATAATAATAATAATAATAAAATAATAATAATAATAATAATAATAATAATAATAATAATAATATTTTAACAGAAACACTGAACTGGTTACTTATTAATTTATGACATTAATTATATATATATATATATATATATATATCAGTTTCATAAATACAAATTTTCTTCGGTCTATTAAGGAAATTTTACCGTACAATTTTGAGTTGAGTTAGGAGATAGTTTAGTGTGGAGACATTAAATTAAATCCTTCCTGTTTGGCTATGTAACATGGGACATGATTCTGTTCTTCCGTGAACGTCAATCTTAACCAGGTGGTCAAGGCTGGTTAAAGCCGTTTACAGACCACCAAACTGTCGTAGTGCCTTGTACCAAGCAAGGTATAATTATTACTCAATTGCTTCTTAAAACTCTCACAGCTATTAACTGCCAGTGTTAATTAAAATGTTGTAATGAAGAATTAGGGTGTACTCATCTATTTGTGCTTGCAGGGGTTGAGCTTTGGCTCTTTGGTCCCGCCTCTCAACTGTCAATCAACTGGTGTACAGGTGCCCGAGCCTACTGGACTCTATCATATCTACAATTGAAACTGTGTATGGAGTGTGTGTGTGTGTGTGTGTGTATGGAGTGTGTGTGTGTGTGTGTGTGTGTGTGTGTGTGTGTGTGTGTGTGTGTGTGTGTGTGTGTGTGTGTGTGTGTGTGTGTGTGTGTGTGTGTGTGTGTGTGTTAACGACTCAACCACATCACATTAATTATGGCCGTCACCACGAAACAAACAGAAACAACCCAACTACAATCACCCTTCGGGTTAACGAGCGAGCCTGCCAATGTGGACCATCGGGCCATGTAAACAGCCTCACAGACCAATCACCCAATCCGTCCTCCTAACAGGTAGAGTATACGTCAAAATGCGACGTGCTAAGATCAAAAACTGTCGTACGAGAAAATGGTAGCGGCTCGCGAAATTGACGTAATATCCCGTTTTCTGTTTTGGAGCCTTTGGTAGGCTAGGATAAGGGCACATTAGTACAACCAGACCGACAAGCAACAGCCTGTTGGACCAAGCTCTCACAAGACAAGCCTGACCTCGGGCCGGGCTTGGGAAGTAGAACTCGCAGAACCTCATTCAGGTACATTCCAGGTATGAATAACAATCCCCACACGGTCTGACCAACCCTCCGCTGTCAACCCAAGCTCCAGGCCGTACCCCTGTCACCCACAGGCCGTACCCTTGTCACCCACAGGCCGTACCCTTGTCACCCACAGGCCGTACCCTTGTCACCCACAGGACGTACCCCTGTCACCCCACAGGCCGTACCCCTGTCACCCACAGACCGTACCCCTGTCACGCAAAGGCCGTACCCCTGTCCCCCCAAAGGCCGTACCCCTGTCACGCAAAGGCCGTACCCCTGTCCCTCAAAGGCCGTACCCCTGTCCCCCCACAGGCCGTACCCTGTCACCCACAGGCCGTACCCCCTGTCCCCCCACAGGCCGTACCCTGTCACCCACAGGCCGTACCCCCTGTCCCCCCAAAGGCCGTACCCCTGTCACGCAAAGGCCGTACCCCTGTCACGCAAAGGCCGTACCCCTGTCACGCAAAGGCCGTACCCCTGTCCCCCCAAAGGCCGTACCCCTGTCACGCAAAGGCCGTACCCCTGTCCCCCCAAAGGCCGTACCCCTGTCACGCAAAGGCCGTACCCTGTCACCCACAGGCCGTACCCCTGTCCCCCACAGGCCGTACCCCTGTCACCCACAGACCGTACCCCTGTCACCCACAGGCCGTACCCCCTGTCACCCACAGGCCGTACCCCCTGTCATCCACAGGCCGTACCCCCTGTCCCCCCACAGGCCGTACCCCTGTCACGCAAAGGCCGTACCCCTGTCCCCCCAAAGGCCGTACCCCTGTCACGCAAAGGCCGTACCCCTGTCCCCCCAAAGGCCGTACCCCTGTCACGCAAAGGCCGTACCCCTGTCCACCCACAGGCCGTACCCCCTGTCATCCACAGGCCGTACCCCCTGTCATCCACAGGCCGTACCCCCGTCCCCCCACAGGCCGTACCCCTGTCACCCACAGACCGTACCCCTGTCCCCCACAAGCCGTACCCCTGTCACCCACAGACCGTACCCCTGTCACCCACAGGCCGTACCCCTGTCCACCCACAGGCCGTACCCCCTGTCATCCACAGGCCGTACCCCTGTCCCCCCACAGGCCGTACCCTGTCACCCACAGGCCGTACTCCTCCAAAACGACGTGCGGTACCCCCCTCCAAACTGAGGAGTGGCCCCCCCCCCTCCTCTTGCCGCATGCGGCACCCCATCACTCGTGGCGAGGCGCCTCTCCCCCCTCAGAACCGTTGCCTGGTAACGAAGAGCCAGAGTGAGGTCACAGCTTCTGACATTTGCAGAGCGTAGGCTGACAGACCGGGATAGCAGCTAGGCGGGATAGCAGTAGCAGCGCGATAGCAGGAAGGATGGGAGAGAGAGAGAGAGAGAGAGAGAGAGAGAGAGAGAGAGAGAGAGAGAGAGAGAGAGAGAGAGAGAGAGAGAGAGAGAGAGAGAGAGAGAGAGAGAGGTGTGAGGACAGGTAAAGGGAGGGACGGACTATGAGCACAACAACAGGAGGGAACTAATATTATTGCTATTTATTACACGCGCGCGCACACGCACACACAGTTTGTGTGTGTGTGTGTGTGTGTGTGTGTGTGTGTGTGTGTGTGTGTGTGTGTGTGTGTGTGTGTGTGTGTGTGTGTGTGTGTGTGAAACATACGAAACCATTTCAGTTAGCAGAACACTGAGCACAAACAAATGTAACGTTTGAATGAATCACACAATATACTGGAGGCTGAGCTCCACAGGAACCACCACTGGAGTCCACCAGTGGTGGTTCCAGTCCACTAACCAGTGGAGAACCTTCCACTTTTAACTGCACACAGGGTACCGTCCACAGTTGGTGCAGCACGCCACACAGCATGGATCTCCATTCCAATACGCTCAGCACTGTCCCATCACTTGCGAACGAACCATGTAGGTTCGAAACGCTTGTGTAAATATATAATAAGTGTAAAAAATTCTACAGTTAATTCGTTTTCTTCACATCGAACAAAGATGACATTTGGAGAATTCCTCTTCCAATTAAACCAAGATGCAAGAGCACTAGCCACAGGGATAGAAGCCCTAAACAAGAAAATAATCAATACAGAATATGCAATCATATTCAATGAAACATATAAATGTAAGCCGGCTGCAATTATACACCAATATTATATATATTATAATATATATATATAGGGGAGGGATAGGGCGGGTGCCCATCCCGCGTCCCCTCATCCTCCTTACTCCCCTTCCCAGGGCCCCCATTCCACCTACTACCCCCCCCCACTTTGCTCATTTTTCCTTATAAAAATATAATATTAGGAAGCAACAGAACTACTGTGAGGTTCTAATGCATAACCCCTTGAACTATCACAAATGACCCCTTGACCTAATTAATAACCCTTGACCTTATACCATTAGTTAAGCCTCCCAGTGATATCTTCCACAAGTTCGGATATAACCGCTTTAAAAGACCGTCTGACCGCAATCACCCAGCGGTAATCAGAAAGTGGTCTTAAAGGTAGAGTCAATAAGACCATCGGGGAACACCTTCTAAAGACCTTGTTAATGATTCTGAACCTCAATGACCTTTATATAAGATAGAGGTTACTTCAGGAGGGATTAAAGGCATGAAGGTGTTAGAAGAGCATAAACATCCTATTGTGGAGGGAGGGAGGGAGAGAGAGAGAGAGAGAGAGAGAGAGAGAGAGAGAGAGAGAGAGAGAGAGAGAGAGAGAGAGAGAGAGAGAGAGAGAGAGAGAGAGAGAGAGAGAATATCAGGTACGGAGCATGATAAGGTGACTGGGGAACTAATATATAATATGATGAACTACTATATATATATATATATAT